TCTTCCGTTCCACTTGGCTCACTAGCCTACTAGGCTCACAGCCTAAGTCACACACCACTAGGCTCACTAGCCTAGATCACACTCACACTCAATCATAGCCATCGATATCCTCATCTACGGCTCCATATCGGCGGCCCTCTCAACCGCCTAACCTCCAAGGTTAACCGCCTAACCGCTGTGCACGCACGCCGGCGCTCACTAGTTCAAACCCTAACTCGGTCCGAAACCTAACCACGGAGTAATCCGGCTGACCATAATCACCGGATTCTAGCAGTCTTAATTTGCCAAGCACACAATCCCTTTCATCTTAATTCATCAAGCATTCAACCTCTTTTAAATTAATCGACCAAGCACCCAACTCCTCTTATCTTCATCTATCAAGCCCTTAATTCTTTTCGACTTCATCTCTCAAGCCCCCAATCCCGTCTCTCTTAATCTACCAAGTCTTCAATTTCTTTCATCTTAATGTGTCAAGCCCTCGCTCTCATTCATCATCATCTTTCAAGTGAATATTCTCTGTGTCCTTCATGTCCACAATTTGGCCGTCAACCAACCTTAATCTCGACACTCACATGCGGACAAATTGTCCCACTCACTTTTGCCACTTCTACCCGCTCGCTATTTTGATTTTGGTGTTGCACAACCTGTCTCACTTTCCCATAACTTTTTCGGTGCCGCACGTGCCCTTTCCGGATACAATTTGTTGCCCGTCTCCGGCGACATCATCTTTTCGCTTTCAACCTTGTTCAACTTCCGTTTCATTCGTGCTCCCACGCCTTCCGCTGCGGTTGCTCCCACGGCTTCCGTTGCGCCGTGCTTCTCTGTCTTCCTTGTTGGTGACTCCGTTTCCCCGACGCTTACATCCACCCGTTGGCTCTCTCTCACCCCGTCGTCCGACTCATCGTCCGACTCAAGGTCAACCACAATAACCTTGACCGGCCTCACCTCCGCTTGCTTCTTCTCCACTCTCACTTCCGGCTTCGGTGCCACCTTCCCCAACCGACGCTCCGTCTTGACCGGCCACTTGACCGCCAAGAACGCTCTTGTTTTCTTAACCGTTGCTATTTCCCACAATTCGCCGCGTTGCACCGCCTCCATCCTCACCACGCTTCCCATCTCGAATCGGGCAATCCCCCCCTCAAAGGAGATCCTTGCACCCGCGCCCAGTGCTCGCAGCATTGCGAACAAGTTTGCTCTCGCTCCGGGGACGTGCCAAACCTCGTTGAAAATTATGTCATGACGAGCGGTCTCGATGGTATAGCTGCTCATGCGACGTTCTGCAATAAGCGAGATTGTTTTAAGTGGTTGTATTGCAACAATCATAACTAACGCACGGTTAGAACGGTCAATCTCGGTTTAATTGGAGCCACGAATAGCCGGAGCCGCGGCATGTTGCGCGGCAATACGGATTGACGGCGCGACGCGACTTCGACTTGTGCCGACGCGCGGCCACTGCATCATTGTACGATATAACTTGAGGGCCAACATGGGTATTTAGAAGGTCGGACTCCGATTGAATCCTACCCAAGACGGTACGCAATGGTACGCAACCGCCAATCCCCGGTACCTGTTCGCTCAATGATAATGATGGAATCACGACCGTTGCTAGGACATCACCAAATCTAGCCAACCAATCATACTTTAATGCATGGATACGCGACTAGCCAATCAGTGTGCACTCGCCTTACCACACGAGGCTGCTTGCCTCGCGACGTAGCCACGTTAGTCGACGGGACCACATGACACATATAATTAGCGACTTCATCGCAGAGGTTGCCACTTGGCAATACCGTAGATAGTTTCGATGCATATAGGCTCTAGTTTTGATATGGGAATTATCGACTTGATACAAGAACGGACGACAGAGTTGAACCACTATTGCGTAGGCAAACAGAGTCATTGGCAGGTATAAAAGGACTCAAGTTGGTTGATCCGTCCTCCTTTCAAATGTGGCGAACTTCGAGGCGACTTGAAGCAACCACGAGAAAACCTCATAAGCGCGAGTATAAGCCTACTTCCTTCTTCACACACATCCGCCCTACAGTGACTCGTGCAATTCTCTCGTCCTTCGTATGCAATATTCGACCTCCCGTTATTCACATTCAGCGGAGCCAAAGGCGATCTCGCCTTTCGCCCCCGTATACATGTAAAACGAACTGGCGGGAATTGAGTTCCTCTTTGGACGAGAGCGGGATTTTAGATAAGTATCAACTCCACGTTTACAATATTTGTTGCGTTGTTCGGAGGGCCTCGCGGTGCGTGACGTAAGGTGAGAACTTTCAAATCCTTGTCAACCAATTTTGGTCTAATAGCACACGGCTTTGATTTGAATTCATTGGGCCCAGTTGGGCATGCATGCTTGCAAGGCTTCTTGAAGATTGAGTGATTTAATTTCCATGTATGTTTAGAATTACGAGGATTTTGGTTAATCAGTTGTCCTGGGTCTTTGTAAGATATGGAGGGTTTTAGACACCCGGTTAGGTCACTCTGACGTTGATGGAAGCATAACCAGGCACACACTACAGGGTAAACCTATGGTTGTTGTCAGTGTAAAATGTTGGTGAAGTATTTATGATTTGGGTCAAGACATGTCATAAATAAATTCGGAAATGTCCGCCTGCATGGGGAAAGATCATGACTTGGCACTTCTCGGGCAATGCCGCGTGGCCCCATGCTCTTCCTTCTAACTAGCCATGTAACTTCAGCAATTGACAAGCTTTGAAATTTGACAAGGACCATCCTCTAGAGCTTGGGCCCCTGGCGGTGATAGAGTTCCAAGGGGGGGCAATAATGTTGTGCATGGAGTGCTTTCGAGTGGTTGAGTGAGGATGGGGATTGCATTGGTGGGCCGACGTGACCGGCTAACCCGCAGGTTAGCTAGTCTCGCCCTTGCATCACCGTGCGTGGCTTGAGGTCTCGTCAGTATGGCAAGGCGGTCTGAGGAAAAGAGAAAAAGCTGCATATACCCCATGAGTTTACAAGCGCCATGCCCCCATGCTCAAAGATGGATTTTCTTTTTCCTGGCAGTGGTTGCCGCGTGGTGCGCAACAACAATTGGCAGACTTGGGTGGCAACCGGTCGCAGCCGACAGGCATCTCAGCGGGCCGCGCCTTTCAGTCAACCACCGCAGCGCCAGGTGTGCTTCTGCCTTATCCCAATTTTGCCTGATTGTTTTGAAAAGATATCTTTGACTAGTATGGAGAGTTGTTTGAGCTGTAGGATTTTGCGTCTTTGCTAATGGCTACGCAACGTTCTCAGTGATCAGGGGTCCACTTCAGCAACCATGAGATGCTAATGTGGCTGCAGGACTGTTTGGTAAAAATGCAATACGCGCGCCAGGCAGTTGTCTCCTGAGAGAAGTCCAAATAGTTACCCTCAGTCAGGTTCAACTTGTTATGCATATTTCAAGCATTATTTTGATGATGAGAGTGGTCAAAAGACTGCGAACAGCTGATGCACACATGGGGTAGGTCCACCGAGTAGGGTTTATAAAGAGACGCCGCTTGTACGAGTTGCGCCACGCTTCAAGATATTGTGTTCATGCTTAGAAGAATGCAGTATTGGTAGTGTACAAGACAAAGACACTACAATTCTCACGTCTCTGGTTGAAAATCATTGATGAAAGGCTGGTTGCAAGTTCATACGACCCCTATAGACCCAAATCTAGCTTGACGTTAGCTTCTGACACCGTTCGAGCTGCTTAAACGTTGCGTAAAGACAGTGTAGTCGTTCGGATTTTTAGATCTCAAGATTTTTATTACGGGACTTTTGCATTTTGTTTGCGAGCTTATTCAATAGTAAGTACTGAGATAAGGATTAGTACAGTCGGTCTGTATGTAGATTCAACCAATCAAGGGATGGCGTTGCAACGGCGTCATGCGGTCAGCGCGGCAGCATGCTCTAAACATGTTGTTTTCGTGCATTCCTGATCAGATCTGGAACAGTGTCAGGAAAGTTGTTCTTTCGGTTGTTTTGAATGTTAGACTGACTTTCAAAGTTGGTTGAGAGTCGTTTAGTACCCTATTTGACTTTATTTCGTACAATCATGTGTGCGCGCAAAATCCGGTCGGGGTTTACGCACGGAGGGGGGAGTCAAGCCGCCATGTATATGAAAGACTGCAGATTGAAAAAGACAGAAACATGGCTAAGGGAGTGTTGAACGCAACGCAATCTGCGCATGATTCCATAAGTAAACGACAATTTGGATGCTGAGATTCCTCAGAGTTTGAGGATTTGTCCAATGGAGATCCTATTTTTTAGGCACACTTGAGTTTATGATGCCTAAGGAGTCAGTGTCAAGGCCGGTTAGTGAGAAAAATAGTCAGAAGTTGCCAGTGGGCCAGAAGAATCTTGGAAGCGGGACGCCCTGGGCAGGACGTCAGTTAGATTCTTCAAGTAAGGAGCCGCAGAAGGACGAAATTTCTGGTTTGCTGTCAAGGTCGGACAGTGCATCTGATACGAATGATCAGATTGGAGATAAAGAGTTGCCTGATCTGCTTGACTTGAAATCTGCATTTTCCGCAGATTTTGTCAAGCAAGATCAGGAAATTGCGCATCAGGACGATGTCAGTGGAGAAGAGGAGCCCATCGGTCAGACTTCTCTATTGGGTCAAGCTTTAAATTCGGAGAACGGACTCAAGGTCAATTCTAAAGACAAGTTTGAAGCGCATACATCATTCAGGGACGACTAATGCGTGTGATCCGAGTTTGAAACCCGTGCTTCATTCTGTGGGTACAAGAAGAACAGACGGGATTAGAGACCCAGCATCAAATAGCTGGTCAAAACGCGAAGTGAAACGTACCATCAAGTAGACTTGCAGGCGCTTTTGGGGGGATCAGTTCCTGCCGACATTCAGACTAATCAAGTCAAGGAGCTTGGAAATGCTTCTTGCGATGGTTGATTTACGGCTGTAGCTAGGCAGGGATTAGACTTTTGCCTCGACCTGGGTTTCAAAGTACGGTGTTCAGAGACAAACGTTTAGAAGGCCGTCCTGAAGTCGTATCTTCCTTTCTCGAATTGGCACCTAGCAATCAGGACAGTCTTTCTATGCAAATTTTGCAGACTGCACGAAGTTCTGTTGCTCAAGGGAATCAACCTTTTGGAAGAGCGTTTTGGAAGAGCATTGTTAACGCCAGGGCAGTACAAACTGCTTGGCGCAATGATTATTGTGTTGCTAAAATCCCTGAATGGGATCGCTCTTTCTCCTTTCCACCCCTGTGTTGGTGATGGAAGACTTGGAGAGAATTCTAAACCTGAGATTGCATACGGGCCTTCTCTTATAGAATACATGGCCGAAGTTGCTGTCGGTTGTCCTACTTTCAGGCACAACAAAAGCATAACCAAAAAGTGACGAGTCTTGTGATTATTGTGAGAATACGTCTTGGAGTAGCCAAAAACAAAACATATACAACCGAAAGATGTAACCTACTTCCAAACCCACCATACCTCAAAGCTCAAAAAGGCTCAAAAAAGAAATGGTGGCAACTGACGAAATGAAGATGGATCAGATCACACGCCAGGTCGACTGTTGAAGATGTCAACGCCATCGCCCAGAAAGGAGGGAGAAGCTCGGGTTGACTCCCATACAGATGAACTGGCAACTTAGAGACAAGAGGGTTCAGAGCTTGCTAGAAATTTGGCCCAAAGCAACGCGCAGATGACAAGCCGCTAGATTGGAAAGTTGACCAGTGTCCATCTCAGCAGCCTTCCATGCCCTCAAGTTGCTCACGAAAAACGCGCAAAGGAAAGAGCGGATGAAAGGTGGGTAGGAAGCAATGGGCGGAAAGCAAGACGCAAAGGCTCTGTGCTACATATCCAGATTTGCAAATATTCACCAACGGAGTATTGGATCAGATCAAGGAGTACTTGATTGTGGCCAAAGCGCTCCCGTAAGGACATTAATTCAATCAGGATTTCCAGAGATAGCCAATCGCATGGGGCGCCCAAAGGGGTCCACAAGTACTTTTTGAAAAAGGGTTGGAATTAGTTGTTTGTACCACAAGAGGCCCAATAATAAGTGTTGCGTGCGATACGCGCACCTTGTGAAACTCCACTTGATCGGTCAGAGCACTCTAATGGGGCAAACAGTGGGGATCACGGTTCGCAATAGGCCCAGGGGCAGCTCTACGACTTTGTCAGGCCCCGAAGCAGGACAAACACTGCAACAAGTGAGTTGATACTCACTGGCGGCCTAAGGCATTCACCCCGTCAGAGTCCCACAAATTCACACAGCTCAGTTGCTATGAACATTGATCAATATGTACACTAATCCTAGAGAAGTCAATATCAAAATGCTTCGACCAGCTGAATTGCCCAACGTCAAATGGGGATCGTAAGACGGAAAGTATTTGTCCAATTTCACCTACAATACTTTCTTTCAGGAATGTGGCGAACCTTAACAGACCACAACTCTTAGCAGAATACAGTTTGCAATCTGAGCAGCTTCTGCAGTGCCTTTCCGACTCTGTTGAGCAGACCAAGATCAGGACAGCAGTGTGTACCGGACGCACCTGGCAGGAAGGGGCTCCTGCACGCCATGGAAAGCGCCAGGTGGAAGAGGTTGCAATGCATGAGAACTTGGTGCATCTCCGTCCTTGCTCAGACCACCACCTCATTGCTGCTTGCGTGTATGCGTGCTGCAGTGGGGATTGTGCTCTTCAAAGCAAGGGGGGGCCAAGCAAGCGGTAGGCAGCCATTGCTGCAGTGCGCGGCCACTGTGCACAATTGTGCTGGATCTGATTTCGAAGCTATATACCATGCAAGCCGGCCCCACCAAGTTGTGGTAGTGAAGTCAACTTGTGCAAAGCTCATTCTCCTCCCCAGATGTGGGTGTGTGTAGCCAAAGTCACGTCCAACTGGAGGACAGCAAAGCACCAAGACCACAGTTCACAGTGCTTGGTAGTATCAATCGAGTTGCAAATGACAAATGTGCAACACTGATTGAAGCTTGGGGAAGAGACTGAGACCGTGCAACACACGACAGATAGGACTGCACAGTGTTCAGAGGCCCTTAGGAGTCAGCCGGATGCAGATTTGCAAGGGAGAAGTCGAAGTTCCAATTGTGGCGCTTTGCGGCTTTATTCATTGTTCACCGTTTAGCTTGTCCTTTCAGCTATCTGTTTGCGTTGTGGCAGTATGGCGCGCTCTAGCCTGACGTGGTGCTTGCCCATGAAAGACCTTTGCTGCGACTGGAGTGGAAAGAACTACTATAAGGCCCTCTCAGCGGCGAAGCACCACTTCGGGTCCGGTCGGTGACAATTCGTCGAGGAATGGCCTCCGCTGTGGTCCAGATGCTGAGAATGGTTGCACTTGTGGCTGGTTTGATCGCTACCTCCACTTTCCAGCCCTTGTGGGTTAGAGCTGGACATCATCAGCCATTCTCAGGGCAAACGGTGGAAGAAGCCCTCGGCGAAGGGCGCCAGCGATACCATTGCGACCATGTTCCGTGTTTCGTGCCAGTACTTGCTTCTTTCTCTCCGCCATGGTGTGCCTCTTGGCCACCTTCTTGCTCGCCCGGTTCCTTCTCATTCGCGCGGCCAAGTCTAGCGATGCGTAGCACAACAATGACATCCTTGCGCCAGAAGCAGTCGGCTGCGCTATGTGGCTCTTCCAGCGAGCGCTCATCTCTCTCTTCGTGTCACTGGCGCTGAACCTACTGGCGGTTGTGTTTGCGGCGCTTCGGTTTGTCACGTTTTGAGAGGCGTCGCCATTTTGGTTGCTGTCATCATCTCCGCCTACGCATCAGCCCGGATGGCCCAAGCGCGCTCCTCCAGAATCTCCGGCGCCAAGCTGGCGACAGTCACCCTGTCGACTGACGTCATCGAGTTGCTCGTAACGACCTCCCCACTTCCACGGGTCCCCTGAGCGACTCCCTGCTTTAGGATCTCGCCACGGTCGCGAACGCGTTCCGGCTCCTTGCGAAGAACGTGCACAACCTCGGACTCTTCTCCAAAAAAGCGCCGGAGGCGATGGTGCAGAGTACACTGCTCATCCTGCCACCCGGGCCGCCCACGACCGTTCGCTGATCCAGTTCCTCTGCGTGGTGGCTAGCGCCCTTCTCTACGCTCCTTCAAACTTCACCATAAGCTTGACGAGCCTCGCCAGGTCTACGACAAGCGCCCCTCCCCCACTCTCGGGACGACCGCGTTCTCCGTCTGCATGGCGGCCCATCCGCAATGTGTGCGGGCTAAACACAAACGCCTATCACGAGGGCCTTGTGGTGGATGCATGCAAGACATTCCTCTCGGCAGCCAGGCGCCAGCAGTTGTTTGCGATGCCTGATGCGCTGGTTGCGGCGGTTCAGCCTGATGTGGAGGCGGCGAAGGCGATTCTAAAAATGAAGGTGGAGGGCGTGCGCGCCGGGGACATCAAGGAGCTGGCAGCTCCAAAGGTGCTAGACGAGCACACCAAGCTGGAGTATCAAGAGCGGGCATCCTTGCAAGCGCACATCCTGACGGCGGCCAAGGGCTATCAACTCTCCCGCAAGACCCCCAGGTAAGAGCACTCTGACACCCGGACAGGCGTTCCTACTTGGGTTTGTTCACCAGTCCTCTTTGCTGCTGGCTGTGGCCTCAACATGTGCCATGTTGTGCGTCGATCGGCATATGGCGCAAAGAGACGCAACATCTTGTGATCTGCTGCTTGCGTTTTCGTATCGGTATGATTTTTGACGTCGGGTTGCCGGAACTTGGTGTCTGCTCACCTTGGTGGTGTGACACTTTGCAGCCTCACCACCGCAAACCCGTCGTGTTGCTGTTGGTGGATGTGGTGTTGTGGGTGCGCTTGGGGGTTTGCGGAGGCAAACACCGCGCTCAGCACGAGTGGAGCATTGCAATCATTGAGGACGGTGCGACGGGCGGGACCCGGAACGCAGCTGCAGGGAAGACTGCGCAACCTGCTCCATAGCTAGTTGTTTTGTTCAACCAGAACTGCTACTCCCGAAAAGTACTCGGTGTTGTGAGAGCTGACACTTATCGAAGGGTTGTACGTCTTTCTTTTGTCCTTGCGTAGGATCATTTCTGCAACCTTGGGTTTCATGATGGAATAGGTGCCTCGCGTTCTCACTGCCACAGCAAGTGGGTAGATGTGTGAGCAGTCTCTGGACCGCTGCCAGATTGGTAGACAAAAATTGCACCAAGTTGCTCTCTGGGACAGGAGCGGTTGAAAGCTAAGCCATCCTTCTTCCGACCATGGCACCAGAGACACCAACCGCTCCATTTCACTTTGTTGTGAGAACTCGTAGAGCTTGTTGAGATACGGGCATTTCGAAACCGCATCTCTGGGTGATTCAAAAGGTTTTAGGATCACGACGTCGACACGCGGATTAAAACGCTACACCCGAATGATTTGGCGATAACCGTCGATATTGTGTAGGTTCGATAATAGCCGTTGATGTACGGTATAGAGTGAAATTTCGGACTTACTAGATGACGGTCCACAAAGCCTACTAGGCCAAAGTGTAGACCTAGAGATAGGCCGTGACTCGGGACACTCCATATTAAGTAGACATCACTTCTAACAACGTTGTGTTTGAACAAGTATGGGACCACGGCGCTAGGGAGGAAGGATCGATCAAGTAAGCTCTCCGTGTCGCGACGACGTTGGTAAAGAAGCGATTTCTGTCACTTGTAGCCATTGAGTAGGCAACACGCGAAATCCGCAAGGAAGAAAACCACGTTCCGTCCTCAGGAGAAGCGGCAAAATGCAGTGCAAATCAGCTTAAGGTCGAAGAAGGCATCGGTGGGGGCGATCTGCTTTATCACGGGTGCTCTTTCAGCCAAGTGACATTTGAAAGCCCTCTAAGGGGGATCAAGCAGGGAACACCTAAAAGAAGATTTCCCACCTTTGGTCTCGAGAAAGAGAGGAAGGGAAAGCGAACTCTAATGTGGGTTTTAACATTTTTCTATGTTAAAACCCACATAGATAAGCTTGGGTAGACAACTACATCAATTGGAGAGTCGCAATATCAAGTTCTTGTTGACATCCAAGGATCTGTGGAATGGAGTGAATCTCGGGGAGCACGCATCTCAATCAACAAAAGCGTTAGTCCATCATGGAGCTGAATGTTGAGGACCATCATTTGGGAACGATTGAGGCTTGGGATCTTCTTGAGACGGCCTACAACATTGGCAGCAAGTCCAATGCAAGGAAAATGCAGCTCAAGTAAGAGCTGCATTCCTCCAAGATGAAGTCGGGTGAGCCCGTGACCATGTACGTGGCTCGGGCAAAGGATTTGTTAGGAAGCTTGACCGCTACCGGTGTCGAGCTGAAGCTGGACGAGCTGGCTTCGAGCGTGCTAGCGGGATTCTCAAGCTCGTTCAGTACCATGAAAACAATCCTAATGGCTTTGGAGGGCGGCTCGAGCTCGGTGGATGCGATTCTGCCGAAGCTTTTGGTGCATCAGCAAGGATTCCAGTTGCCCAAGGAAGAGGGGCGGTGGTGCGTTGGACTCCCTCTTGGCTTATGTAGCTTAGCGGAAAGGGAGCAAGGAGAGAATCCACGGCAAGGATGAGGGCCGGGGCAAGGGGCCTAAGTGCTACAATTGCAGTGAGTTTGGTCACATTGCTCGGAATTGCAGTAAGCCGGAGGCGAGAGCTCAAACCGGAGCAAACGAAGGGAGTGGCCTTTAGCGTGATTGAGGAGAAAGCTGCCGACGAGTGGGTAGCTCCCAACACCTAATCCGGGGACAAAAGCCTATTTGAGACCCTCGAGATGTTCGGAGGGAGTGGCCGAGAGTTCACGTTCGGAGACAAGGGAATCTTGTGGGCAGAGGGAGCGGCTCGGTTGAGCTATGTTGAAACACAGCGTTGTTGGAAGTGATATTCAATCAATCAAGTTCACACAATGTATATGGAGTGTTCCGAGTCACGGCCTATCTTAGGTCTACACTCTAGCCTAGTAGGCTC